GGGCACCTTAATTTGATTTTGATCAGAGGAGACAGGTACAGGGACAGGGTTTTTTTCTTTATTTCTACAATGCTTAGTAAAATGGGGACCTGTGCTGTGTTGGGGACTCCCAGAATTGTTGCAGTACAAATACATAATGGATCTAACATGGCTCAATGATTGTATCCTGCTATTAACAGTGATCCAAAGACCAGTTGACGAAGAAGCTTGTCTCCACTGCTTTCTGTTCTAAAGGACACTTGAAATCAGCAATAAGAACAAGCCATCTACGCACGTTGTAGGAATCTCTCTTAGGGCTGTACAGAAGTCCCATTACTATAATACAATGATTCTCACAAACACCTACAAATGAATCACAAGGTAAACTCAGAGATTTTAAATAGGAATCCATAGTGTAAGAAACATTTGGTCCTGTTGTAGACTTTCTGAGTTCTTTGCAACAGAAGAATTGCTCTATTATTTTCCTGTGGTCAAGAAATGAGTAAATGCTAAGAGCTGGCATTTTCCAAGGGATGCCTTGATTCTAAAAAAGGTTGACAATCACCATTATATTTGAGCATCTCAATCTTCAATGCACAAATCCTCAGAAATTACTGTAAATAATATTGTTCCATTTTAGAGATGGAAGACTGAGACAAACTAAGATAAAGTGACTTGCCTAGGAAGCCTGTGGCACTCCTGGTAATTGAACTAAAATCTCCTGGTTTTAGGGTAATTCCTTAAGTATTAGACCATTCCTCCGCTGCTAAGAAAGAAGAGGCAGTAAGAAACCATGGCTGTTTGACAGGCTAGAGACAGAGCAGAAAGCAGTGCTACAGGCTTCCTTACTGCCTGCCAATGACCTGCAGCCTGGCTGTGAAGAAGGGACTGTGAGGACCAGGGGCACAGTACAACCTCTGTGGTCCAGTCAGTCCTTGTCTCCTCTGATGGAAGTGATTCTTGTGATGGTGATGGGGTACTTGGACTGATAGTCCTAACCTGAGCTCACACAGGGCTCTGAATATGAACCACTTGGTGTTGGGAAACAGGCAATTAAAACTGGCAATTAAAACATAGTTGGGGACAAACTGCAATAGCATTTCCTTGGTTATTACCATCAACAGAGCTGAGCAGTACAACAGCAATGTAGGGTTATCTTTTAAGTCTCCTACAGAGAGTCTGTATATTATGAGAATGCCAGATAATTTATTTTTCTATCCATAACAGTAACTGGTTCTGATTGTATTGGTATTAGCTCTGCATCTTTCTGGTCACAAGAGGCTCCTATGCACATGCAGGGAGGCTGCTCTGACATGCTGTAATTACAATGTGTCAGAACTGGTGCAATTAATTACCCTGCTCCAGCAGACGCCAGCGTCATGTGTATCAGTGTCCCCACACTGAAAAATGGTGGCGGGGCGCTTTAAACTAAAACTTTAGTTAAAAGTGCCCCGTCACGATCTTTCAACACAGGGACACTGATACACGTGATGCTCTGGGTACTTTTAATTAGTGGCTCTTGGAGCTGCACTAATTAAAACATCTGCCATCTCCTCCCTCCCTCCCCACCCTCCCCAGAGCACACCTATACACCCGAGGAGGGTATAAAGGTAGACATATGTTTTGTGTAAGCATTGAAATACGGTGGCCTGGCTGAGTGAGAACTCGGCTGGAGCTGGGTGAGCGAATGTGTTACTTTACTGGGGCAGATCATGTCTGATATTGATACAGGAAACAAGAATAAACTGTGTGGGGAAAAGCAGAAGGAAGCAGGGGACTTGTGTGCGAGGGGATTGAGTTTCCTTATTCATTCCTCAGTGCAGTGTAGCTCCCACCAGCTGCGTCACTTTGCTGGGATGCCTGTTCTGCTCTGAGGCACCTTGCTGGTTGTATGAAATCAGATGACACTACTTCTTTTCCATTTGTGTGAGAGCTCAGAACAATTTGAAAGCACTTAACTGAGATTCCCAAAAGGTCCTGCAAGGCAGTTGTTATGATCAGATGAAATGACCTGCTAGAGGTCAGAGGAAGGAAATAGTGACAGACTCAGGAATAGAGCCCATCCTGACTCTTAGTAACTTTACTAGGCAAGACTCCGACGAGCTCTTGCTCACAAAAGCTTATGCATCTTTAACGCAGCTAATTTATAAGGTGCATCTCTACTTTGCTCCCTCCAAATACTGAAAGAGTCATAAAGAATGAAGAGAAGGAGGACCGTCGAACTCAGGATTCTCCATTTAAAAGGAGAGTAGGCATTGGGCTGGAGCTGGTATGTGAAGTTTGCATTAAACTGGTATGACTTCAGGTTATTGTTAAATCACATTAGAACAGCATCTTGAGGCCACAAACAGCGCCTCATTGTGCACAAGCCAGAAGTGTTTAAAATCTGAACAAGACAAAAAATCCCTAATTTTACAGGAAGATGGTGTAACATGCTAATGGTCACACACAGCGTTTGTGTCAGAGCCTGGAATTAAACCCAGAGCCCCTGAATCCCAAGCCAGAGCCTTTTCCACAAGACCACCTTTCACCACACGCCTATACAGAGGGTAGAGGCTGTTTGGGGTAATACTAGTTTTCATGCCCTGTTGAACCACTGGGCCAGGCTCCCCTCTGTAAAGTGCGGCAAGCCTCCCAGCAAAGAACTTTTTCAGCCAAAAGCCATTGTAGCTCCTCGATGGTAATACTCAGCTAATGGCAAAAGAGGTGATCAGGGAAAAGGCAGGTGCTGGTGAGTTTTGCTTTGCTGGGTGAACTTAGGGCAAGTCACTTTCTTTTTCATGCCTCTGTTTGCCCATCTCTATATAGTGGAGAAAAACATTATATATGACAGGTAGGCATTATTATTACTACTATTGCTGAGATAAGCATTATCAATACCTAGATAAGTGTACATAGTTCAACAGGATGTTCAGTGTCCCTTTTCATATCATATCCATGATGGCACCAAGATACTGTAATCAGCATCTTTAAATGTCTACTGGATTATCCAGCATGTAACTGAGAAAAATATCATCATATTTAGATTATAAAATACTTTCAATGCCAGAAGATCCCAAGGCATTTAACAACAGGCAATAAATCACTTCAGCTATGTCTGAAATGTAGACATTTCTAGAGTGCAGCACAACTCTACCTGTATCTTGTGACTGATAAAGCATATTTTCATAAGACATCTCATCTTTAAAGGTAAGATTCACTGACTTTCAAAAAATATATTCTAGATGAGCCACAAGAGATGATCCATATACAGGAACTGCTGTGTGGGATTCTCTGCACTGTGCTATGTGGCAGGTCACAATAGATTAATATAACAGTCCCTTCTGGACTTAAAATCTGTGAATGCTACACACTAGTGCAGTGCGTTCCAACCTGTGGTCTGCAGACCTCTGGGGGTCTGCAGACTATGTCTAAGGGGTCCACAAAAGATGACTATGATGAATTAAAAGTATGTGAATACCCACTTACAATTCATAGAGGTCTGCATCTCCATTCAAAATTTTTAGGGGTCTGCAAATGAAAAAATGTTGAAAACCACTGCATGGTTTGGATCAGGAGGTGGAGAAAATGTCTCTCTCCCATTGAGGCTACAAGGGGAGTTTCAGGAAGATGCAATTCTTGGGAACAGTGCCCTGAATTTTGGATTATTGTCATCTGAGTAGCACAGTACTCCCAAGCCATGCTGGGTTTTTGGTTCTATGATGCCTTAATGGAAGACTACCACCTTCTGAATTAGCAACATAATGTATTTTTTGTTACCCCTATATGGTCACTTTGCAACTGAGTTCTGCTCAGCCCTGTCACCTGCTCCCAGAGATGACCATAGCAGGGTGTGGGGCCTGGGGCAAATCAACCTGGGTGGGGCTCAGATGCAGCGGTGGTGGTGGGGGTGACGAGCGGCTGGATGCGAAGCCAGCCTGGTTTCACAGGGCCCCCCAAAGCATGGGGCCTGGGGCAGTCACCCCAATTCGCACTCCCCTGCCTGCTCCCCACGTTCTCATGACCCAGCTAAGATGTGCACAGATTTATTTCATTTTGCAAGAAGTGCACTCACCACTAGATTCTCATTTTCAATGCAGGCATTTTGCAAAATAAAAACAACCCCTCTGCCACCCCATGGGCAGATCTAGGATTTCCTAAAAAGGGTGGGGGTGGTAAGAACACTGCTCTCACACTATGGGAGGGATGGGAATGAGGTGTGGCTGAAGCTCCTGGGCCATTAGGGGACACCAGGGAGACGGGTAGAGAGCAGGAGATGGAAGGAGAAACCTGCCCCTGCTGCTGTTCCAGGGCTGATAGACCCAGGGAAGGCCAAGAATTACTTTTGCCTGCTCAGGGTGCTGGTCTTGGTGGTGAACAACAGCAGTGCACAAGCTCCTCCTTCTTGTACCTGCTCCCTGTCCAGCCCCCACCCACATTGTTTCGCTGGCTGGGAGCAGGCACTGGGAGGAGGAACCTGTGTGCTGCCATCGCTGTTCCCAGTCGAGCCCAGCAACTCACAGGGCTTCCTGCTCATGTCTGGGGCACGGCAGAAGTGGCTCTGAGGCTCTCCCCACTGCCCAGGTCAGCTGGACACAGTGGTGGAGCAGGGGTGGATTTCTCTTTCCAGCACCTGCTCTGGGCCACCAGGGACACCTGGGAAGGGGTGAGGGGTGGGCACAGGTGGGAGTAGATGTAGGAACAGGAAACCTGCCCACGGCCAACTCTGTCCCATGCTGAGCTCCACATCCTGCGCAACTGAGTCCACAGCTGAACCAGGGTAGGAGCTGCTCTGGGGCTCCCCCTGCATTTGGGCCAGCCAGGGACAGCAGAGGTGGAAGGGGGGTGTCCGCACTGTCGCACCATCCTGGGTCCATCCCTGGCCTGTCCTTTCAGTATAGGCAGCCCTGGAGCAGAAGTGAAGAATGCCTCTACCCCTAAGAGTTTCCCCAAACTAGCAGAAAGTAGCTTCTTCATTAGGCTAAAGAATGCTGGCATGAAGACTGGGAATTGTTTCAAACAAAGGGCTATTTTACACTCCGTGGCTTTTGTACAGTGCATGTTTTATTGCAGAAAAACAAACTCAATGCATTTAAAAAAAAACTGGAGCAACATTAGATGGCAGGTCATTTCCTCATGTTCCTATGACGTGGTCTCCACAGTAAATGACTTGAATACTATGAAGACAGTTTACTTCAGATAAACAGTAATCTGAAATCACTTGTGAAAAGTACGAATCTCACAACTGATTGTTTAAATGTCAAGTAAAGCTCCTGGTTCTGTTCTTGAACAGCACCCCTTCCAGCAGAGACAGTGGTCAGTGGAGTCATTCCTGATTTACAGCAGTGCAATTCAGACTAGAATCTTGGCCTGTATCACTGAAATGTCCTGTGAAATTTTTATACCAGGATGATGAGGACACAGTGGCAGATCAATGACATTTCCTGAAAGGCTTAATAAGGCTAGATCAACTATTGTTTCCCAGAACTCAGAAGCCCTTGGATCTGGTGCACAACAGCGCTACACTGCAGAATCCTGCAATTGGAGTGGAATACTGCTCAGACCTGCCAACAAGCTGAAGAAAAAATAAATTGTGTTGAGGCATCACTGGACAGAAAAGAAACAAAACTTTTGATTGTGTGATTACACTTCATTTACTTATTTATAGTGATCAGACAAAAATCTATTCCTGATGCAGAATTTAAGTTGTGGATGGGAGCCAAAATCAAATGCAAGAGTGGGCAGATTTTCCATGGGATGGGAATGGGAGCAGAACTCAATACATAGTCCCACCCTAGACTGGTCCCTATCCACACTGGAAAAATCTTCACGTGAAAATGCATCAAGTTTTAACACATGTCAAGCACCATAAGATGAACCCAATCCTTGTCTAAACAGAGTGTTGTTTTGTTTACCATTATTTTAGCTGGTCACATTTACATTGGTCTCACAGCCCTGATTTAGCTGCAAACTGCAACTGTGATCACAGAATTATCAGTCCTTGTCTACAAGGAATGTTTTAACCATGCCAGCTGACATGTATGATGCATTTTCCTAGTGAGGACGAGCTTTATTGTTGCACAGCAGCTTTGATGGTTGCATCAGCAATTTGAACTTGCTAGTTTCTAAGTTCAAAACAGCTGGAACAAAACTGGCTTTTCCTCAAGGGTGATGAAATGTGATCCTCACTAAGAATATACCCCACAGCAACCTTGTTTTTGAACCACAACTGTACCATGGTACCCAATACAGCTGTTATATTTCTTAAAGTAAGCCTACAATTCAACTAATTATAGGAAATACCTCATGAGCAGACGGTCTTAGACTCAGCAGGTTGGCAGATTACACATTAGCATATAAAACTCTTACACTTGGACTCTAAAGACCTGATCCCCAGCTGATGTAAATCAGCAGAGTTCTACTAAAGTCAACATGGTTATGTCAATTTGTACCAGTTGAAAATTTTGCCCCAAGTGTTCGTTTTTAAGATTTCTCATAAAAACTTGGGAGAGTCAGAAATTCCTTTGTGATGGCAATATAATAACAATTGGGCTACAAGAATCTGAAAGCAATATATTAGGAAATAACTTTGTTCAGCTGGAGGCTGTTTAAATGCTAATGTGCAGTGTGTAGTAGGATGCCTTTCAAAATATTGAAAAAAAATAATAGAAAAGAATCTGGAAGCTTTGAAAACTTATTAAAGTGAATTTAAGCCTTGTGAAAGGTGCCAGGCTGACAGTCCCAGATACTGAAGCCTTCTGTTTAGTAACAGAACAGGGACGGAATAGACTGTGGCAACGTGAACTTCCCTTTGCCCTCTGGTGTTTGGGAACACCAACAATAGGTCTCTAGTTTCAAGAATGGACGCCCACTTCATTGGGAAATGAGAGGAAAGAACAACATTAATGCCAAGTCATCTTAGCTTCTTCTCTAAGACTGCCAAAGACGCTGGTCAAATGAGGGAGATGGAGATGTTTTCTAACGTGGATCTGTTTTTACTAAACATGAGTCCAAGACTCACCACATTCGTTTCACATGGACCAGGAGGAAGCCATAAAAAATTATGAGTCTCTGACCTAGACTGGATTTTAACTCATGACCTAAGAAGTGCAGTAAAGGGACCTGAATTCCATTCACCAAGCTCTGCCATTAACGAAGTCCCTTCCCTTTAAAAAGAACTTAGAAAACGATTTATATAAAGTGGTCACTGGGCACAAAAGATTATCTTCAAAAAGATCACCCTAATTTTCCCTGCATATAGTTACTGACATACTCTCTGTTTGACAGTGAAACAGGGATGACAACACCTAATTGACATTAAGGCAATCTGATTTCAGTACCTTGCCAGGATTTCAGCTTGGAAGCTTCCCTTTATCATCATTCTCTATTAGAGATTTCTTAAATGTGAGCATGAGAAGCAGAAGCATTGGCAAGTGCCACAGGCTGCAGAAAAAAAGACTTCTGGAGCTGCTGCGGTCCGCATCCCTGTAGAACCGAAAGCCGAGGTAGGAAATATACAGATTGATAGGGAGTGAAATGACAGGAAAAGTCCATGTGGTGATGTCGAGGACAGGAGCCATTGTTGAGAGTCCAATTAAGGCCAAACAATGACGCAGAGCTACCCGCCTGCACATTGCTGGGTGGGTGACGGACATCATACAGTATCCTCCTCGGGAATAATCCTCGCGGAGGTTCCAGCTCAGGGCATTGAAATGAGGGAACTGCCAGGAGTACAGAATTCCTCCCAGCAGTAATGCACCTGCAAAGCAAAAGAGAAAAACACAGTCTCATTAGAGAAAACACACTCTCATAAGAGTGCTCACCTGGACCACTGCAAAGAATGCTGGAGACAAGATTTCAATGCCAGTGTTCATGTTACAGCTCCTGTTCATGAAACAGCATCTCGTTCTGTACAGAAGCCAAATGGACTTTATTAGCAAGAACTTGGGATTTGTTAAGGAAACTTGTTTTTTAATCTGAAAGTGTTTCTTCAAATTACATTCTCCCAATATATGCCATTGCTGATGCACCCATCACCTAGGGATCTAGACTACATTTCAGTCTCTGCCCAGGAACAAATCACTGCAACTCAAGTTAGGTTTGGGAGAATGTTTTCACAGAGCAGTCCCTGAGACTCAGTTTGCTCTTCCCCAGATTCCCTAATTGGACCATCCATCCAGAGAAGTAAATGCACCGTAGAAGGGAAAGGAAAAAGTTAACAGGAAATATGAGGCCGATATGTAGCGAGAAAAGGAGATGTAGCTATAAGGGCTTGTTCTGAGAACTGTGATAACAATGACAGTGATAACAGCTGGCTGGCACTTTTGTCTGCTAATTTTATTAACACAGCAAATTGCTCCTGGAAGTAGAGGTCTCTTAACTGCTTCTTCATTGTACCCTGCAAAAACTAACTGCAAAACTTGCAAAAGGGAGTAGAAGAAGGGGGAGAGCTGTTTCCTTCCCTAAATCAACTCTGCATGCTGATTTTAAATATAAATACAGCTCATGTACTATAATCTTCATAATGTCCTAAACATGCCTAAGACCTGATACAAAGCAGACTGAAGTTATCTGGATCCTTTCATGATTCACTGAGCTTTGGAGTAGACCCTTAAACTGGGCCACACACACTACTACCTACTGTAGATATGCATATCCCCTGAGGAAAGTTCTCCTTGGTGAGCCATTTTGAAACTTGCCTCTTGTTTCATTAACATCCACCTTCTCCATTTCTGTTTTGGTATCTAATTAGTGTCTTCTCATCTGCACGCATTTATTTTTTCTGGGAATGAACTCTCACTTCTGAGCTACAACACTTTCTGACTCATCTGATAGAAACAGCAATGGCAAATTTTGACTTCATCTGGGATAAAATTGGGTCCTTAAATCCTTCCTGAAAACTCTCACTTTGAAGGGTAGTAATCAATGGCTCAATATCTAGTTGGCAGCTGGTATCAAGTGGAGTGCCCCAGGGGTAGGTCCTGGGGCCGGTTTCGTTCAATATCTCCATCACTGAACTTGAAGATGGGATGGTGTGCATCCTCAGCAACTTTGCAGATGACAGCAAGCTGGGGGGAGTAATAGATATGCTGGAGGGTAGGGCTAGGATTCAGAGTGACCTAGACAAACTGGAGGATTGGGCCAAAAGAAATCTCATAAGGCTCAATAAGGACAAGTGCAAAGTCCAGTTCTTAGGATGGAACAATCTCATGTACCGCTACAGGCTGGGAACCGACTGGCTAAGCAGCAGCTCTGCAGAAAGTGACCTGAGGGTTATAATGGACAGTAAGCTGAGTATCAGCCAACAGTGTACCCTTACTGTGACGAAGGTTAACAGCAGGGAAGTGATTATTCCCCTCTATCTGGCAGTGCTGAGGCTGCATCTGGAGCACTGTACCCAGTATGGGGTCCCCCACTACAGAAAGGATGTGAAGTTGGAGAGTCCAGTGGAAGGCAAGAAAAATGGTTCTGGGGCTTGGGAACATAACTTATAAGGAGAGGCTGAGGGAACTGGGCTTATCTAGTGTGGAGAAGGGAAGACTGAGGGGGATTTAATACCTGTCTTCAACTACTATCTGAAGCTTGGTTACAAAGAGGATGGAGCTAGGCTGTTCTCAGTAGTGGCAGATGACAGAGCAAGGAGCAATAACAGATGATGGAACAAGGAGGTCGCAAGTTGCGGCAAGGGAAGTTTAAGTTAGGAAAAACTTTCTCACTAGGAGGGTAGTAAAGTGCTGGAACAGGCTACCCAGTGAGGTTGTGGAATTCCCATCCTTCGAGCTTTTTAAGACCCAGCTACACAAAGCCTTGCCTGGGATGATCTAGTTAGGGATGGTCCTTTGAGCAGGGGGTTTCATAGTTTCTAGGGTTGGAAGGGACCTGAGCAGATCATCTAGTCCGACCCCCTGCCATGGCAGGAAAGAGTACTGGGGTCAAACGACCCCAGTAAGGTGGTCATCCAACCTCCTCTTAAAAACCCCCAGGGTGGGAGCCTGCACCACTTCACTTGGAAGCTGGTTCCAGACCCTAGCCACCCTGACCGTGAAGTAGCACCTCCTGATGTCCAAATATCTGGTTGGACTAGATCAGCATTTCTTAACCTGTGGGTTGTGACCCAAAAGTGTGTCGCAAGAATATATCAAAGAGTCATGAGCATGTGCCAGAAAAACATGCGAAAGTGCAGGTTTCTCTTGCAGGCTGGCAGCATTCCACCCTGCAAGGGGCTGCTTGGGGTGTGGCCAGCATGCGGCCAGGCAGGGTCGTGGGAGCAGCCCCAGCAGCTAGATGAAGGTAAGTGTATGGGGAGCAGGGGTTGGAGGGCCAGCACTTGGGGACTTGGGATGAGGGTGGTGGTTTGTGCATGTGTGGGTGGGATGCGTGTGGTGGGGGCAGGTGGCTCTGGGGGAAGGTGGCCGGATAGCCGGGCATGGAGGCTTCAGCAGGGCGGGGGGGATGGGGTACTGTGGGTTGGGCACCAGCAGGGCCAGGAGAGTGTGGGTTGGGACAAGCCATCAGTCTTTGCAAGTGGGTCCTGGTACAAAAAAAGCTGCGAACCACTGGACTAGATGACCTCCTAGGGTCTCTTCCAACCCTAATTTTCTATGATTCTCTGAAGACTATAATGATAAGTTCAGAACAGGAGTGACAAAGACTAATTTACTTCCTCGTGTGAATCTCTCAGTGGCTTATGTCTTCTCTACATCTGGTTTGGTTGTAATTTTCTTCTATCTTGTCTTCTATAAGACAGTATTGTTGTAACATACATAACCTAGGCTAATACAAGGCCTCAGCTCTAACCATGACAACTGATGACAGATGCCATGATTGCTTCATCAAAAATGTAGCTGTGAGGATAAAGTTTTAACTGCCTATGAGGTGCATTACTGTCTGAGAAGTGGTCTAATTTCTTTCTGAAGTTATGAATAACCTTCTCTCTTCTGTGAATTACACGTCCCTGAAAGCTGATTACATTAACCACAGAGGCAAAGGAAGGCTACTACAATGGGAATACAGATCCCTGGATAATGTCGACAATAGAAAAATTACAGGTACCAAAGGGCAAAACATCCCAGTAGCCTTCTATCCTTTAGGGGTTTTCCCCACCTTTCTTCTAAAACCTTGCAGTCAGAGACAGGACACAAGATTCAATGAACCACATATATAATAATACTTAAAACTTACTAGTGAATTTCTTCTACAAAGTCTTTAACAGAAATTAGCTCCATACCACCAGCTGGGGCAACTGAGGCAGAGGGAGGCAGAGCCACACACAATTTGTTCCTGGTCCCCAGTCCTGTGAATAGACCCAGTCTTGGATCTGGCACACCAGCTCTTACATTCCTACATCTTTGGCCTGTAATGTGGTTTTCACTGATGTAGTAGTTCAATTTTGGTGTGCAGCCAACCTCCAAAGGCATCCAAAACCTC